GTTCAATCAAAAAGCTGAGGTCACAAGGGGCTGTTACTTTAAATAACTGCAAAATAGCCTGGAAGCGAGCAATTCTTTTATCTTGGTGCCAGGTAATGTTTGGAGTGGAGAACAGGCAGAGCAGGGGAAGGAGAAGGGACAAGCCTATGAACATGTCAGCTTATCCAGGCTTAAGTTGTTCTGAACTATGAGTTCAGTCACCCTCCCCTCTTGCAAAGGGGAGAGCTTATTGCAGGGCAATAAAGGCGTTTCCTCTGACAGCGTCTGCGATGGAGGATGATTGTGGGGATGGGCACATTCCTGATGAGATTTTGCCTTGTGCGTCTGGATGAGAGCAATCAGCACCCTTTTTTGTCCACAGTGTACCATGGATGAGAGCAGACCTGGCCTGCAGGCTCTGGTTTCCTAGTGTCTGAGGCCAGGGAGAGCCCTCATGTCCCTGGAGTGGTGTAGTGCTGAGACACGATGGCTTCTGTGTGCAGTGCTCGCCTGTCACCTGAGGTGAATTACGTCACGTCAGTAATACCGGATCAGTCTGTGTACAATGATAGTTTATTTTCCTTCCTACTGTAACAGAGCTTGTACCAGCCTCTTTGATAACCACCAGAAATCCCAGTACAGTGAGATAAGCAATATTTAAGATGTCTTTTTTTTTTTTTTTAAGCCTGAAGCTGGTATATCAGATACTCCTCTTACATGCCTGAGGAGTCAGGTGTGCTGATCTGGTGGGAAATGGTTGGAGTGTCAACTGACAGTGTCTTTCATGTTAAAGTACAGGAGATGGCTTGATCTCCTAATGCCTTTCTGCTGATGCTGGGGTTGGAGGGGTACCAGGGGAATACCTCTACCTCTTTGACTAAGGCTGAAGACACAGCTGGTGCTGATTTTGTGTGCTGAAAGTACCATATCATGTAGATAAAAGCAAAGATACAGCCATCAAGCTGAGAGTTTGTATTTAATCTCTTGAAAGAGCCTTCAGATATTGATTCTGCTTTGGTTAAGGAGAGCCTGACCTTTCTTTGAGAATTCAAACTCCGAAGTCTGCTTTTTGCCTTTTTTTTTTCTTTTTTTTTTGTATGTGAACATTCAAAATCAGAAGTAATTTCTTCCATTCTGCACTTTCTGAGTGAGTGGCTCACATGGTGGTCAGCTGGGGCTGTTGAAATGGATTGCAGGTACCACCAGGACCAAGGACTGTGTGGGAATATTCCTGAGTGAAGTGTTGGGGTGAGCTGCTTTGGTTCTGGGGAGAAACAACACAGCTGTACCACGGCAGAGGTGCAGGTTGCACAGGCACTCTCTGGACGAAGTGAAAGAATACTGGCAAAACTTAATTTCCCTCCACTTAAAGATGATGCAAAACTTTGGAATTTCAGAAAGGGAGGGAAAAAATTACAGAATCAAAAATGTTGGAGTTTGTGTATGGCATGCTGGCTTTTCCTTGTTCTGAAATAACTTGCCTGCTTATCATCTTTTATACCTTCTTTCTTAAAAATGCCCTCAGAATTGTTGCCTTCCTCAAATGTTTTCAGCAAACGGTGTTGCAGCTTGGTCTGCTCCCAAAGAGGAAAAGGTCCCATAACAATATTCCATCCTGTTCATGGTAAATAGTGATAGAGACATTATAGGGGTTTGGCTTTTGCTATCCAAGAAAAGAACAGTCTATGGAATTTGCCTAAAGCTACACTGAGGCTTTTAAACCAAAATGAAGGAGTCTTTCATGTCTTAATTGAAGCAAAATTTGCTTGGTTTAAACAATGCAAAATGGTTCCAGTGCCTGAACAAGCTGAGAAACTTCTTTTGAGTGGGGATAGAGGAGCTGACTTGGAGCAGGAGTCCTTGAGTTGTCTTTGGTCAGGGGATTTTTTGGCCCTGAGATCTGAACCTTGCCTTGATGTGCTTTAATGCATGAGCAGATTGTGATTTTATTGCTAACAGTGACTGCTGTTAAGCATGGATTAGGTTCCATTGCAGTCTGCTGAATATTGTGGGGTGAATGTTCTCCAGGACCTAGAATTTTCTTGGTTCACGATAGATTCATCTGTAGCACACATAAAATTAGTACTGGATTATAATAATCCCCTTAAATGAATATGAAAAGACAGGTGTTTACTTTGCAAAAGTTAATGCTCCCAGCTCTATGCTGCCCTTACACATTGCATTTCTCTCCTGAATTGCCAAACCCCCAACTTCATGTTACAGGGAGCAGAAGTGTAATGGCAGAACAAGTGAAGTCTTTGCAGGGCAGTGTTTTAATATAGGTATTGATATTGGTATAAATAGATGCAAACTCCACTCTGCATTTAAGTCAACCTGATACAGGAAGGTAAAACTTTGATCCCAGTCATGCACTGTCCTTGTGTGCCCAATCTGCTTGTGCCCCAGCTCTTCCCTGCCACAACACACCATTGAGGTTCTTGTGCTTCATCTGTGCTAACCCATTTCCTCCAGATTTTGACCAGCAGGTACCTCCTGCAAAACTCCAGATCTACAGAGGCAGGCTGTGTTTCTCTAAAGACTTGAATAACTTTCCCTCTCCAGTTTCACAGGGAATGGGAAAGGAAAGAGGCTGGGAAATGTTTAACTAAACAGGTCTTGCTTCTGTTTAGCAGTGAGCCCATTATTAGCTAAACAGGCAGCAGCTTAATTTCACCTTCTAGTGTCCTTTAAAAACTGTTAGAGAAGCTTTACCTGAACCACGAAAGCTGACAACACCTGGGTGAGGAGCTTGGGATTCTGCGAGGTTTTTGCCATGCACAACTAACTGACTTTTCTTTTGCTTTGCTGCAGTCTGGGGAGTTAGAAAGCTGACAGTTGAGGGCAGCTGCTGTGCTTGAGACACCTCTGCAGATGTCCCCTCAAATACCTTGTTTCCAGTGTGATGCTCGAGTCTCTGTCCAGGTTGTTGTTTCAAGGCCACCATAACACGTTTCAGTACCTGTCTGGGTAGGAGCCATCCAGCAGCTCAGGGAGTGTTGGGTGGGGGTGATCCTCATGCTTTTATTCTAGAAGCACAGCAGTTGTCCTAAACGTGGTGCTGATGGAAATGGCCACTCTTCTGCCCTTGTTGAGCCAGTGTCAAAGCCACCAGCTGGCGCTTGCATGTGCTTATCTAAAGCAGAGCTGAAATTGCAAGAGGAATCTCTGGGGGTGAAAAGAGTCAGGAGGAATTAAAGCTGTCATCTGAAGACATCTTCATGAACTGATCAGCTTGAGACTTAAATGGAAATTTTTTTTCTTGAGGGATAAAACTCATCCACAGCAGATGGCTTAGTAGCTGGAATGGTTTTGCAGGCTGATGGTGACGTTTTGTTAACCCGAGTCCCTACGCTGCGTCTTGTGTTGTGCATAACCACAAGCTATATTTACTGTGAGACGTGCAGAAGTGAAGGGACATAAGGCAGAACAAGCATTTTTTGCTTTTTAGGCTTTTTATTTTCTCATTGTTGTAGCCTGATCTTTCACACTTTCTTCCTTGCTTATGCAAGCATATCTCAGCTTCTGACTTGACCCATGCTTAATTCTTTGCTTGCTCCTAACACCTGACTCAGGCTCATTTTCTAACTGATGTGTAAGCCCCAGTTCATCCTAAAGGACAGTAGTTACAGCTTGGTTGGTTTTTATTTTTTAAATTACTTTTTCCTCTTTTCTGTGTAATGTCCTTCTCATTAAAGTTTAGTCCCACTAAGGAGGGTTGTTTGCCATGCTGGATCACAGACATGTGAACAAGCTGGAAAACTAATGAGCACTTTCTCCAATGACAGCCTTTGTGATTTAGCACCAATTCTAGTTTTTTGGTATCTGAAAGTTGGGTAAGGTTTCTCTTAGCAGAAGGACAAACAATTGGTCTCCCCATAAAAGTGTTTGGCTGGGAGGTTAGCTAAACATAGCACCTCTGTGACAGTCTTTTGTTCCTCCACCATGCAATGTCTATTATGAATGTTGTGCAGGTGATGGTTTAATGCAGCAGGACTCCTGATCAACTGATCTTCAAATCTACTTTTCTTGTATTTAGTTTAGAGAGATACCAGTGATAATTTACTCATCTCCCTTTCTCCCTGTTTTTGGTTTGTTGTTTTTTTTTTTATCTTTACCTCTTAAGAGCCTCTCTGTTATATTGGGACTGTCTGAAGTTCCTGCAAATGGTATCAAGTGTCCTCAAGCCCTTGCATGTCACTGAAAGGAAAGCAGTTTCTTCTGGTCTGTGCTTGGGGAATGAAGTTGGTTGAAATTTCTTCCTACTATAAAACTTCTGGTTCCTTTGACTTGTCGTGGTGTTCAATCAAGCGACTAAAATCTGTTGTTAAAATCAGGATGGTGTTTGCCATCTTGCCACCAGCTGTTTAAAAGCTGAGCATACCTCCCTCCATATTTGCTTCCCTCTGAATTTGCATTAGAAACTCACAAAAACATTTATAGTTCACAACCAAATTTCACTCAAATAATTTCTCAATTGCTGCTGAGAATACAGAAGCAAAGCCTGATCTATGGCTTTGACTACTCAGTGTCTGGGGAAGTACTCAACAGTACTGTCAAATTTAGAAAAGAGGTGTTAAGAAGGGGCAGCAGAACAGGAAGGGAGTCAGATCCATTACAGGAAGCAATTCCTACACAGATACTGCAATCCTCAGTGACCTCACTCCGTAGAGGATTTATTTTTAACTTTGTGTAGTTCAAAGGCATGTTAAAATGTAAATCACTGAAGTGTTGTGTCTAAATAGGACAGTGAGTGTCCTATATATGAGTGAGGAGTGCTATGGAGATGAGTGAATTCTAAACATACTCTAAATATGCTCTAAATATGCAGCTCACAGGTAATTGGATGTACCTTTCAACTGGACAAGCATATGGTGATGACACTTGCTCTATCAGCTCATGCTGAATCTACAAATACCAGTTAGAAACTTCCCACAGTCTTTACTGTAGCACTTGAACTGGAACATCTAAGACACTGATATAACACCTGGTAACTGTACACGGATTCCCCTTCTCCTTTGCAGGTGCTGAAAAGATTGTTGCAATTATGATTGGCAACCTGAAAGGCATGGAGATCCTGCGGCGGATTCAGAGCGGCATGAAGGTGACAATGGTCATCGAAGTGGGGAAAAAGCGCAGCCTCTCTATGAATATCTTCACCATCCTCTTCATCTCAGTGTCGTTTTTCGTTGTTGCAGCAGCAACCCTGGGCTGCTATGTCTCTTACTCTGCTCGGAGACTCATTATTGCAAGGGCCCAGTCCAGGGAGCAGGTGAGTCAGTGCCATCGCTTTTTTTATACACCCAGACCTCCGTGGTGTGGATCTTAGGGGCAAAATGCTGGTTAAGCTCTAAAACGACTGAATTTGTTTGTTCCACAGGAAGGAATGTGATCTTTAAAGTACTAGGAGATACACCCTTAAGCAGCTTAAAACTTTCCTAAAGAACAGCAAAAAGTAAACTGTCTGGAGAAAACTGTTGACTATGTTTAGTTAACTGTGTCTCCTACAAATTTTAGGCCCTGAACTGCAGTTCAGCCGTAATGCTGATGTATTGGAGGCTGTGAGAGAGCTAAGCTGCTCTTAGCTGACCCTCACCCTTCCCACATAGCACTGCCTGTGTGCCTGCTATAACAGGAAACATGATGGAAGTGTGTCTGCAAAATGGGGCATGACTTTGGCCACAGGTTGGGAGGCTGCTGCCTGTTGAAATCTGCTTTCTGACTGAAAGCTTTCTGAGAATTGCAGTAACAGCCTCAAAGAGAAGTTAAAAAAAAGCACTGTTAAAGTGCTCTTTAAACTCATGGAAGGGAGATGCTAATGAGTTACGTATCCAAGTAACTTTCTTCTGTCCATTAATATGATCAACTGATAGGACTAAAGCTCACAGCTTTGTCTTCAAAGTTTAATGCTAAACGAAGCTGGCCAGGAAAAACTGGGTGCCCTACACACTCTTTATTAAATCCAATTGAAACGTTTCCTCCTTTAAAGGTATTTAACAGTGCAGTTGTGGAAGCTCAGCTTTATTCTGAGCTATCAGGCTTTCAAGAAGCTACAGATATTATTAATGCCTCAGTGGTAGCTGCTACTGGGAAAATCCAGTCTGCTTGGCTAGCACCTTCACAAACTATTTCAGTCTTGGGCTTCATGTGCAGAAGGAATTTACTGTAGATTGAAAAATAACATTGATAAATGACATGCCAGTTCCGCATAAATTCAGCTGAACTGAAATCAAGGAGCCTTAGGAAGTGCTTTATAAAGTGTAAGAATAGGAGAAAGCTTGTCTGCTGTCAGGGGGTGAAAATGTACTATTCTGTCAAAGTGCAGCTCATAGACAATCCAGAATTGTTTTCAATTGTTTTTATGCCCTGGTATCTCAGACTGACCTCACAGATAAGCAAAAAGTAACAAGAAAGTGCTTGCTAGTGAACTACTGAAAGGTGGTGCTACAGTGTGCCCTGCTAGCCAGCTGATTGGATTTTCAGTGCAGACCAAAGTTTGAGACTTTTAGCTGTTTTGGCTCCATGAAGTACTGAATATTAGTCAAACAACTTACCAGCTTGCATGGTACATAGGTGGCTTTCCTGTCATCATTCAGCCCTTTGGAAACTCAGATTGCCTGAATTTCAATCTGTTAGTTAGTGGAGTAAAAGAGTGTGTTTTGTCTCCTTTCCTGCACAGATGTGGAAGGGTTACATGTTCTTTTGGGAGGTGTCTTTAGGGAACAGTCAAGTGTATTGATAATGAAGTGTTACAGATTCTCCCTCTTTTCGAAATGCACTGAAAATCATGTTGTTTCAGCACTTCAGTGTTGCTCTGAATGCATCCCTTTACTGCTCTTCGTAGTCTCTGTCTGCTTTTTGACCTTCCCTGTGGGATTATCTTGCTGTTGTGTGAGGAGTCTTTTAAAGGGTCAGTCAGCCACTGGAACCAAAGAAACACTTTTGAATGACTCTCTGGAGTGGTACAATGAGCTAATAGTGATATGTGATAATGATGTGCTGTAGCTTGTGAAGGGTTTCTTTAAAAATTGGATGACTATTGAGAAGAGCCAGTCACATTGTCTTCTGGTCCAAGCAAAAAGAGAAGTTTAGTAGCACATATGTCCCTACCACAGTTAGTTAAAACAGAGTGGCTCTTTCCTCATGAGCTATCTAGCTAAACTGTTTGCAACCTGCTAGTTCCTTCTTGAATGCATCTTTTCTTCTGGGCTTGAAATTTAAGTCCCCACCTCTGCAGTCTCTTGCTGCATCATGTGGTTAGTGAGCAAAGACAAGTGTGGTAGGATGGCTTGCTACCTTTTTAGTCAGCAGAGTACTGACAAATTCAGTTCCTCAATATAGTAACCTTTCTTAATAATGCAAAATGACCCATGATATTATCAGTGACCTGGTTTCTAATTTCAGCTCAAATCTTTGCTTCCATTGATTTCATAAAGATTAGATGTTGCAGCTGAGAAATTACCTAACTAATGGCTTTGGAGGAGGTGAGTTGCTCAACTTTCCACAATTCAAAACTGTGTTCATGGCAGTAGCTACCTGTGGGGAAGAACTTCCTTAGCTTACAGGAGAAAAGCAGAACTTGCTGACCTCCTTAGGTCTTTCTTGTCTGTGTTGCCATGACCATGCTCACCAGGTGCCAGGAAGGCACTCTGCCCCCTTATGCAGAAAGGGCTGGGGTAAAATCAGCAGCGTTGGACTGGGGAAGGCTGAGGACTAAGCGATTGCAAACCTAATTTTCCCAGTTAGGTACCTCACTACTTCAACATACCAGAACCTGAATAGGAGCTGGGACCTGACCTGTTTTGTAATATCTTGATTCTTTTTCCTCAGCTTAACTATTTTTTTCTAGAGTTGCTGGGTTGGGACTTTCAGACTTCTGACATAATTAACATTTAACATTTGCTTGAAAAACTTGGCTTTGCAAAATGCTCTGACATTCCAAGCTCAAGTATCCTGGTAGACTATTCAATAAAAATCTTCCTCTTGCTTCTTTTCTCCATCCCCTGGAGGGGTGTTCTGCTGTACTTGCCAAAATCAATGTTAAGGGTGACTTTGCCATTGGTGCATTTAATGAAGAGCAATTAAACTGGTGCCTATGCAAAACTTAAAATATTGTTTCGGTAAATTATTAACAATGCAGCCAGTTGGGTCCTGTCTAATATGCTTGGCCTGACAGGAGATGTGTAGATGAGATACCAAATGAGGGAGTACATTCCTAGAAAGTTCAGTTTTCATTTAATAACAAGTAGTGGTGACAGTTCTGGCTATGTATGAGAAGTACTAATATTGCTGCATTCTTCCTCTGTTGATGTTACCACATGTTGATTTTTACCACATTTGCTACTCAGACTTCTAGGGGCCTCAGTAAAAAGCAGTACATGGCTGCTCTCTCAAACACTGACAAGGGGAACATCATTCCAAAGTTAACCATAAGTGACATACGGAAACAAACATTCATGTCTTCAGCAAAAGCTTCCAAGAAAACTCGTCTACTTCTTGTTCCTACAAAAATCTGCCTGAAAATGTGTTTGTATCCTCTATCTTTGGATTCTATCTGTCTCTTCCTTGATAGTTGTTAATAATTATCAGCTATTAAGCTCTCAAAAACCTGCACATGGATGCTCTATCTCAGGTCACCAAAACAATACTGATACACAAATAGCTCATTTTGCACCGAGACTGCTTGACAGTCTCTCAGGTGACTGTATAAATCAAGTTGTTTGCCATTAAGTGCTTCAGCACAGGGAATCTTGTGCAGACTTGAATGGCCAGTCCTTGTGAGTTTGTTACATGTCAGCAGCAGCCTTCCACCCACTTGTCCTTTTGTACTTGTGCCACCAGCACTGCACTTGGAATAGATTCATGTGACTGGGCTAAAATGCCTAAGGAGATGGAATGCTGGAAAGCTAACAGTGCGGGGCTCCTGCACAGAGCAGCTGAATTGGAAAGAGGCTTTTTGGTTAGCTGCAAAACTGAAGACTGATCTGTCCCTGAGGTAAGCATTGTGCTGGGACATCACTTCCAGAGCTGCCTGATACGCCTCCGTGTCCTGAGGCAGTAAGTGCACTGGCGAGGGAGAGGACAGTCCTATTCTTTGTGTTGGTGGAACAGCCCCAACCTGTGACCTTTAAGCAGAGAAGTTGGCTCCTGGGCTAATTCCAGTGCTGCATTGACAGCTGGACAACAACAGTTGCCAGGCAAGCTGTAAATTGGTGGGGACAGAGGAGTAGTTGAGGGTGTGTTGGAGGTGAGTGGGCTGATCGGTGCAGAATCTCTCACCGTTCATCAGGACGTGAGTGTGTGGCAGGAAGGTGCCATAAAGTGAGTAAAACTACTGACTGTTGGACTCAGTGTTCGATCTTCTGTACCAAGTCAGTTTGAAGGCTTCTGTTTGTTTTGGTTGGGTCTAATCTGATCAAGAAGAAACCCTTGGAATTCCCGTGCTTGTGAAAAGGTTGGGTAAAAGCAAAGCAGATGCTAGTGCCTTGTTGGTGAATCATCTAGTCAATAACCACATCAGTATGTCCTGAAACTCTGTTTCATGATGTCTTGAAATAGCATGGTCATGCTTACTTGGCTTGTTGTGATAAAATCTGGGTTCTAAAACTATTGCCTGCTCGCTAGTAGGCACCCGGGTAAGTATTAGTTACTTAATAGAAAAATGACCGTGTTTCATTAACCAGGACTGCTTTCTGTCACAGCGACGACTACGGGCCAGGGCTAAGAAGGCCATTGAAGAGATGCAGCTCCGCACCTTGAAGGAAGGGGACAAGGTAGGACTGATCCTATGACCTCATGTATGTTATGGCACAGCCTTTGCACAGAGCCTGGAGAGTGGTCCATAGTACTGGAGCAGGGTGTAGAAGTTTCTCTGAGCCCGTAACTGTTGGTGGCAGAGACAGTTCCTCTTTCAGACCATGTCCTTTTCCAGGCTGCAAGACTTCCTTATATTCTTATAAATCAGGTTATTTTGTTAGCTGCTTGTTTGTAGTCTTGCTGAGATGAGAGAGATCCTAATTTTGCTGGCACGGATGCTTAAAGGTAAACTAGTCTATGTAATCAGCTTCCCTGGCTTTTCTTTTTGTAACTAAAACTGGAGCTAGCAGTTTTTAAACCTCTACAGTACTGCCTCCAGTAATCTAAGCTGAAATTCTAAACCATGGGTTTAAACTTTAAATGCTTCTGTTGAAGTGTCAGCTTGACTGTGAGTAATCCACACAGTGTGTTTATATAAGATTATATGTGGGAGCATCTTGGATGACTTTAGCTAGACCCCTTTGTCTGCAGTAAATCTGACTGGAGTTCAGAGGAAGCTTTCAAAGTCTGTTAATGCTGTAAATTCATTTCACTGTTTTAGGAAACTGGTCCAGAGGGGGATTCCTGTGTTGTGTGCTTTGAACAGTACAAGCCAAATGACGTAATGCGTGTTCTGACTTGCAAGTAAGTTGTCTTCCAAACTGCCCCTTTACCCAAAATCTGTAAGCATGGCTGTTACTTGTTGTTCCTTCTGCTGTGTTAACAAAGCTCATCAAACTTTAATCAAGTTGTTACACAGCAAGCATTCTTGAATCTCTGTCAAAACAATGTTTTGAACAACAGGAACTGTGTAAATATGCACTTTTAGTGTGCCTCAATGGCCTGTGTTCATAACTTCCCCATGAGTGGACTGACAGGCATCGCTTGGCAGATCACAGTGCCCCTCAAGAGCATGCCAGGGCTTTTTAAAGATTTATTCCCTTGCTGATATATAAGAATGTTACCACTAAATTGCAGGTAACTGGCAAAACATTGCCGATTTCTTGTCCCTTAATTTACTGCTTACTAAGGGGGTTGTGCTTCTGCTAAACTTGTTAAACCATACTGGCTTTTGTAGTTTAGAAGAAGGCATTTCTCTTCTTGTATGCATCCTCTGAAATAGAGACCAAAATAGAACTATAGCAATTTATTTTTCTAGAATTCTCCCCTGTTGTATCTTACTGCTGTGGAAGTAGCACAAAGTGTAGCACAAAGACTGGGATTGCTCCTAAGGTGAGGAATTCAGCTCCTTCAGGACTTAAGGAAACTTGTTCTGTGGGACTCCCCCTGTGCCTGCTGAATGGGACTGCTCTGACCAAGTGTCTAAAAATCAGAGGGCTGTCATGTGAACTGCACAAATTGTGTACAGGAAGAGGTTTCATAACCTTTGGGCAGGGTTACAAAAAGCACTTGGAAAAATTTTGATGTATGAAAAGTTCTGTAGAATAGCAAAATCTGTAGCTGGTGTTGTGTGGTGGGCAGTGCCATCTGTCAAACACTGTCAAATCTGAGCTGGAGTTCCCTTTGCACCAGGTTACAGTTTTGCAAAGGCTTTTTCTGCTCCCAAGCAGTAGGACCTCTTAAGCTGTTTTGATAACACAAAGTTGGGCTGTTAAGGTGTTATCAACCAAATTCCTTGATCTAATGCTTAATACTTTAGAAAAAAGCAAAACTGAATAAGCTTTCAGGCATGGGTGAATGCTTAATCAGTTGTCTTGTCACGTCTATGCTCATGGGTAGTCTTGCTTAGTAATGAACTAAGTGCCATGAGTACAGAAACATTCAGACAAGCTCCAGATACTTCTGGCTAATAGGAGACCTGACTTCTCATTATTTCCCTATAAACCCTGATAATCTTGATATGAACTTGCAAAGAAAGCATGACTTATTGAGGTAAGAGTGGAGTAACAACTTCTGAACTTTGCTGCATTATGCTTTGCTCTAAGACTGCTTTTCCATACATTTGTGATGTTTCATTCCTCCCGGGCCCAAACGCAGCTCTAAGAGGCACATGCTTAAGATGACTGGATGGACTTGGTAATCTTCACCAGTGGTGATCTCTGCCAGTATCAACCATATTAAATTCTCTCTCACATGAGTTATAAACTGATATTTACTGCAAGAACATGCTTGATTTTGATGGTTGACCTCAACACTGAGACTTTACTTGTTGAAAGCATTTGACTGTATCTGTGAAAGAAGCAAGCAATCAAATGGTCCTGTGAGTCACACTGGTGGTATCTGAGTCCCTGGGGTGTGGGTGTTTGCCAAAGGCATTCTTGTCCAGAGAGTCAAACTGAAGGCATTTATAGTTGCAGATACACAAAACCAGTGGTAAATCCAAGGACTTAAAATAGTCAGGCATCCAGGAAGTTTCAAGTTGTACTCTAAACATTAAGTTGGTGCAGCTGGAAGGAAGTGCTGGTGGTGTGGGCTGAACTGGAGAATCCTTGGATCCTACTGGGCCATGGGCTACTGAGCACTGGATGTGGTGATCTCTGCCCTTGTCTCATAATAGAGCTGATTAATATTGAGCAGTGCCTGTCTGCCTTGCTGTTTCTATTCAGGCTGAGGGAACAGGCAGATTACAGGATTTCAAGTCATCCTCCTAAATCTGTGGCCTAATTTAGACCCATTGTGGAAGTGAATGTCTTAATAGAAGCACACATTTGCATCTGTGGTGGCTGAACTATATTTACTTTCTTGAGTGCACAGCCTGCCAGATATCCACTTGGAATACACAGTGATTGCATAGACAAAGCAAATGGGTGGGAATACAGTTTATCTCGAGGACATTACTCTGAGAGATGATTTGTCTCTGTAGTTCTAACAGAAACAAGTGGTATTTAGTCATCTGCATCTGCACTACAGAAGTTAACCTTAAAGCTGAGGCTGAGACGTCAATAATCGTATTTAGTTAAATTATCAACTGGGAATGTGCTTGAAAATGGATTTGGAAGAACAAAAGCTTTAGATTGATGTAGCAAAAATGATAATGCTGAATTCTAGCATGTTGTATCAAGATACTAATAAGCACAAACCAGCTACAGGCTGAGAGATCAACTATCCATAACCTTCAACTGAAACTTGAGGCAAAATAAGGTCATCCACTCTAGAAGGAATAAATTCTCAGTGTTACCAAAGGGTTCTTCACAGGTGGCATATAAGCAGTCTTCCTGGTATGAAACCTAACCTGTTGGCTACCTTCTTCCACCAGCCATGTTTTCCACAAGACCTGTATTGACCCCTGGCTTCTGGAACACGGGACGTGTCCACTGTGCAAATGTGACATCCTCAAAGTTTTGGGTGTTGAGGTAAGCCAGCAGTCTGTCACAGTGGCAGCTGCCATTGTCAGTATTACACTGATGCAGTAACCACATCTTGAGCTATTTCTTGCTGCCTCCAGAGCACTGGTGGTAAGCCCAGGTGTTGCCATGTCAGTGGCCAGATGCTACAGGACTGCTGTGTCCCTTTTAGGGAAACCTGCAGCTGACCTGGTCTGAGTTGGTATCACCTAAAGCCTTGGGCAGAACATCAGCCAAAGCTGACTATCATGCACGGAAGAATCGCTCTTAACTCTTGTGCTTGCAGTTAAGGGTGTTTATCAAAGCTTCAGGCAGACTCCAACAGCTCATACTCTCCCTGAAACCTCTGTTCAGTTCCTCAGTACCCAGCATCCTTGAAAAGTGAATGTGTTAGCATGGACATCATTCCTGGAGCCACATGATTTCCTAGGATACCTCAGGAATTTCTGATGTGTTCTATGTTCTTTAATTGCTCATTGCTGCAAGTGCCAGGGGAAACTGCTTTTGCCAATGCCTGACACTGCCCAGACCAGCTAAAATGTATGCCAGAATTTGCCTGGGGGAGTCATTTCTGCACTGAGTGGAAGGAAGACACTCTTTTTGTGGTACTGGGCAGTAAATGAGTGAAGAATGCAGCAGCTGTGTCTGAACTTCCCACTCAATTAGGCCATAACTGGTTTTCCCCTGTGATATTGGAGGTTAACAGCAGAACTTTTATTCCATTTTATTTTTTTTATCTCTGGGTAAAAGTGCCCTGGACTCAGTCCTTGCAAGTATTGGTCTCCTGGAAAGATGCAGCCTCCTATCAAGTTGTAACTTAACTGTTTTCTCTTTTTTTTTTCCACGAAGATGGATGTAGAAACACGGTCTGAGTCTGTGCAAGCCTCAGGATCCAGTGGGCAGAGACCTCTATCCACTGTCACTATGGTTAATGAAGACGATAATCTCAGTGAGACAGCGTCATCTGGATATGATTCTGTACAGGGCCCAGATGAATCTGCTCAGGAAGCACATGCACCATCAGAAAGTATGTCTGCTTTTTCTTCTGCCTTGCTGGATTGCATTGCAATTAGTTGCTTAGGCTGTGAAGTAGGGGGGTTTGCCGTAATAACATCTCACAGGGCTTGATATTCCCTTTTGTTTTACGCTTGATCTGACACTTGATCTTTGTTTTCAAATGAAACACAACCTTAGTGTGAATTAAAAGATGAAGCCTGTGAAAAGAGTAGTTAAAAAGTCAGAGGCTTACTACTTCAAGGGCAAAGAGATTTTTCCAAAGATGTCTGTCATCTCTTTGTGGAGATTTCATTTGGATGAGTGAGTGTTGCTTTGCTACCAGATCTATCTGCTTTAAGTAGTTATTTATTTACAGAAAACTTATGGGGAGTCCATCCTGCTCTAGTTTATTAGATGGTGCAGGAGAGAGATGACAGGTACTTCAACTAAATTTCAGATTTTACCAAGGCTGAGTCATCCTTGAACACTTTCAGAGAATTTGAAATTCAGTTAATTTGAAAAGACTGTCAGCTTTTCCAAATACTTAATCTTTTTGAACAATAGCAAACTAATTGAAAATGTCTTTTTTTGTGCTTAACTTTGCCAACACATGCTCAGTGTTGCTGTTGGTGTTAAAAATGGAAAGGTTCCAGCTAAACAAACAAAAGTAGCTATCCCCTGGACTGTGGCATGGTGTTGGGAAGAGGAGTAAGGGGGAAGCTTTTGGAGGTGAAAGGGATGCTCTCTTTTCTGGGGGAAGCCTACTTGATAGGAAAATGGCATTTGCTGCCTGCCTCCTGTGTTGATGTGTTATATAGCAAGTGATGTGTGTATGGGAGTGCCCTGTTCCAGCACCCCAGTAGAGCAGAGGACACTTGCTATGAGCTAAGCACCAGAAGTTGAAATTGCATCCCTACAGGCAACTCGAATGATGCTGGATTAGTTAGTTATATGGCTCAGGCTCTCGTGTATTCTCGCTTGGAGTGGGAAGGACACACAGGAACATCATCTGAACAAGGTCAATCTGTAGGGAGAAGGCCATCCTCTATGAACCAGTGTGGCCCCCACAGTTTATCCTGAACCTGGTCTCTTTAGGAGTTGGTCCTGATGCCTTCAGCAGCCCTAAAGATACAAGAACTGACAATCTCCTAGTTGGATTTCATAGCCTCATAGGGCCTTCGGTGGCTTGAGCACACAACCTCTGCTTGCTCAGCACTACTGAGCTGAGCAGGTATCTGTAGAAATGACAGGTGGTATCAAGAATGGGCTCACAAACTAAGGAGGGGCAGCAGATAGTTGGAGCATGGCCTTGGATTTCCAACTCTGCAGGAGAAGTGCTGGGAAAGGACCACTGCAGTGAGCTTCTGGAAATCAAATGAGCACGGTTCGCTTTAAGGTAGTAAAGCTGGCTTGTGACACTTCTTAACTTGTCTTGGCTTGGTTTTGTTCTGGACAGATGACAACACACCTCCTGTAAATGAAGAATCCCAGCCCTCCACTGTGACTGGCCTTTCGCACGGTGACAACCCAGGTTTTGAGGGAGATGAAACGCCAGCTTCTGAGGGCAGGGTCGTTTGTGAAGTCACACTCTAAGGACGTGCCCAGCAACACGGTGCAAGCCTTCTGCGAGGAGCTGCCTACTGCCATTCCATATATACCAAAAATTGCAAGACTGCTGCAGAAAATACTGCGTTGGCAATGTTAAGATAAATAGACTTGTTCAAATCACAATTGTATGGTTTGCCTTTCTTAAAACTGCATTTCCCACGTGAGTTTTAGCACTCTTCAGATAAAGCTGTCTTAAATATAAAGAAAACCAGCAGATTCTAACACTAAAACAAAAGTTCCATCTTCAACAAAGCTTCTCCTCAGTGTTTGAGTTGTTTAAATGAGAAGATTCTTTATGTTGTAGCTGTCTCTACTGGGAACTGTTTTGAGTTGGGTTTTTTTTGTTGTTTATTGTTTTAATTCAAGTGGATTTTCATTGTAAACAAATTAATTTTTGATCTGGTCTAATGCTTATTTACGACACACGGGGTTTTTTTGAACAACACTGTATTTAATGTTTCAGTGCACTAATTTGATAGGAGAAAAGTGCGAACTAATGCTTGTAAAACTGGATTTCGTCCACAGTGTCTTTGGTTCTCTAGTAAACCAACTGATTCTCTACCTCTCAACTCCAACCTGCCAACCACACATTCCTAAAGGGGAAGAAAAGAAAGCTGCAAGCTGACAGGCCAAATCTGACTTGCACAGTACCGTAAAGGGAACAACTGCAGGAACTTTTCAAGCCTTGTAATGTTAAACAGTCTGAAAGATCCTCAAGTGACTTGGGAAGTTATAACCATCTCTAGCACCAGCAACATGCCAGAGTCCCGGCTTTGTGGGAATCTGGGGTGACTTCAGAAAGAGTAAACTGAAGATGAAAAGATAGATTCTTCCCAAAGGATCTGCTGTGTTTTGTTCAGAAAATGATCCAGCCTCTGAAAGATGCTGCACTGTTGCTGTGCGTTGTCTTGCTCAAGTGCACCAGCTGCAGGGAGAGCTGACGTCCTGTGAGTGTGACAGAGGGCTGGAGAAGCTGTCTGCCACCTGTGTGGAGTTGGGATGGGGTCAAGGAGGAACACTGGGTGCCTCAATAGTAAGTGACTTGGCCTTGCCCAGCAAAGGTAACTAAGGACGTCTTACAAATGCACTTTATTTTTTTACCTCTGTCTCTCTGACTAGTTTCTAATATTAGCAGGACTTTGTCTTAAAGCCTGCAATAAAGAACTTCAGAATCTGGAGGGGAAAAGCAATGCATTTTATTAGTTAGAGTACAAATTAAATGGTTGTAAATATTTCATAATTTGTATTGAATTTGAATATGAAAATGTAAATAAAACTCTATTTTTGATGATCCTGACTGACTTGAAATATTACCAACTCTCATATGGAAGCAGATGCTGAATTTGCCCTGTCCCACAACCCTGAAACTCAAAAATCAGCAGTGTTTGCTCAAAGTAATTGGACTAAGGAGTGCTAATTATGTACAGGATGCTACTGTTACATGGATTGAAATTGTGTTGAGAGCTTAAAGCTAGTAGCTGTACTCAATATAAAAGAATTAATGGTTCTCTAGTTTTGCAGCTCAACTTGTGAGTCTGCCATGTTCTTGTCTGTGCAGATTTGTTTGTAACTAGCAGCTATGCAAGGGGCTTTGTTTAAAAAGGAAAGTGTAACTTTCATGAACACCATCTGTGATACTGACCTTGGTTCTGTTGCTGTCAGACTGCTTTAAAGAAATTTCAAAGCTCCACTCTCACTTTGTACTTCCAAGTTTCCGTGGATAGCAGCTGTCTTTCTGACCCCACTTAGGGGACTGTGCAGCAGATTTTTCATTTGTTTTTGGTGATGCTACGGGCTCAAATGGCTCTGGGTCATGTATACATGTATATGAGCACTGTCGAATGACAGACTCTTTCCTCTTAGCAAGAGGCCAACAGGAATGTGCCTGAGGATTCCTGAAATGCAGTACAAACCTGTTGTTATTGTGCAGTAGTTTTGGGGTTTGCTACAGATACCCTAACTTTGTGTGTAAGATAATGGAAATTATGTGCCTATGAGTTTTAACTGTTGCTAAAATGTCCGCCTCTTGACTCAGTTAATGTTCCCGTTGAGTCACACAGACATGTCAATTCTTCTGCCCCCAAAGAGCAAACTGAACAGGCTCCAGCATCATCTGGCAGTGTTTACTCACTGCTGTCACCTCTCTCCCCCAGGAAAGCTCTGATCTAGACACTCCACTTGAACATTTGTGTGCTCTCAAAGGGGGACTGGGAAAGATTTTTTTTTTTTATCCCTGCAGGAGTGGAAGCTTTGTCACCTGGGGTTGGATTACTGTGCTGTCTTGTAAACCAGGCTTTACAACAGCGGGACTTCATTTTAAATCCCAAAGCAAAATAATAACACTTTCTAATATTGAGGAAAACTTTCAGGTGTTCCCATAGAAATATAGTTTCAGCTGAGATTTTTGCTTAAGGGAAAATGCAGGACTTATGATGGGGCTGCAAACAATAAAAGCAGTTTGAGTCACAAGGGGAATTGGACTCTTCCCATAAAATGGAGAGGCTTAGTCTATCTCAGCCTTTAGATGGAAAGATCTGCACTTCTCAAGTGCCTTAGTAACAGCTGGACAGGATACCTCGGCTGTGTGATTTCACATAATTTCCTTGCATGTTTAACACACACCAGCACAGAAGGTAGCCCTGTCTTTTCACCCAGGTTTAAACTAATGTTTTTCCTGTGCAGATTTGAATGGGGCTGCACTCCTGCAGCGGTGTAATGGCTGGCAGGTTGGAAGAGACCGAAGAAAATCTACTGGCTTTGGCAATTTAATTGTGGTTTCAAGAGAAACTTGAAACTAAATTGTAGCATTCATGCACTGGTTGTTCAACTGTTAAATATGCAGAATGCAGCCAACACTTATTTATATAGCTATTTATTTATATGATCTTGACTATGGTTATTTGAGGGAAGTAATTTACAATTTCTAGGAGGTCTTTAATAAGCGAAATAAAAATTCTGCAGCACTAAATGGATCTTTGTGGTGTAGAATGCATTGATTAGACTGTAGCATGATTATGCACTGATTAAGAAAGTTTTCAAGTGGCTATAAATAAATTCCTCCAAGCTGATAGAAGGGCACTCTTTGCATCTTAACACTATTTGATTAAGAATCAAATGCCTAAGGGAATGGAAAAAAGGAAGACATCCAAGACCTTGAAACAAGGAGAGGAGAACAAAACAGACATTTTCCAAGCAGTAGCATTTTGCTGTTAAATATTTATCCAGTTAACAAGGTTTGAGCTTACATAAGCAAGCCACGTATGTCCTAACATGTCCAGCATGTGTGAGTCACCAAAAGGCAAGCTAAAAGGGTAGGAAATGCCAAGGGCATCTCAGAAAATCTGTGTTAAGTCCTTAATTTCTTATATCCAAGGGCTTGTCTAATTGTGGACAATGAAATGGTAAACACTCTCTCTGGGAATGCTCTTAGAAGAGCAGGATCCAGGCAGGAACCGTTGTGTTGGTTCAGCTGGTAAATCTGCAGCAATGTCTGTTACTCGGGTGGGGGATGGAAGAAACTGCCTCATGAAGAGCTGTGTGCCAGTGTATGTGGGAGTTGTTTGCCTTGTCTCATTAATGTTTGATCTGTGTTAGTTACCACATGCTGGCTAATGACTTCTATTTAATTTTTCCTTTCTAGTAAAGGTAGAGCACCAGAAATTTTTGCTTCCTATTCTGTTACAGAAACAGGTTAAGAAAATAGTATTAGCTAAACCTACATTCAGTCCCAAAGGTGAAACTTTTTAATACTACAGCTTCTCTTGCTGTGGTGCAATAAGTGATTGGAAGAAAAGAAAAAAAAGTTTCATGCCAGTACAATTCACCCAGTTTTGAAGCCTCCCCATGAGTTAAATGCAGCTGCACACTCAGGTCTGCTTTCACACTAGTGCCTTTGAGTAGGTGGTTGTTACACAGCTGGAACTGGACAGGCATTGCCAAACAGTTTCTGTGAGTGCTTGGCAAAACCTCGCTGTGCCTGTGCTCACAAATAGACCAGTGCTGGCACCAGCTGTTTTGGTAGTGAAGTACTATTGAAAGGCATGAAGGAAGGCAGGATAAAGCAAAAGTGCCAAGATTGCAACGTGTAGTTAGTGCATGATGTGCACATTTTTTTTTAGAAAGAGCTCAAATTAGAGGCTGAGTTTAAACAATTGTGTGCTGCATTTTTTGTATGATACACAATCAATAAAGCATTATCCTTAAAATCTTAGGAAGGTCAATTATGCTGGAAAGAGAGTGCTAAGGGAAGGGAACTGCAGGTAAGTTCCTGGGAAACAGGAAGATTTACTCAGTTGTAGCAAATGACAGGTTCTGTCAGGACCAGGAGTGAATCTTGCATAGAGGTAGGAAAAGACAATAACTCTGGGAAGTGTCCAGCATCAGCAACCTGGATCAGAGGAGACATGAAATCTGGAGAAGACATCAACACAGAGGACTGTAGAAAAAGCTGATATGCAAGTGCAGTCCTGACGAGTATGAAAGCCACTGTCTTGTTCCTTAACATCATACATTGATTTATTCTAGTGCAGAACAACTGGTAAAGTCAGTCTGCACATAATCTGAAGAGGACAAATGCTGAAAGTCTTGCAGGCAAATCATGAAAACACTGAGACCACAAGTCAAGCTGCTGTTAAGGCAAATTAGCATTGAATTGTGCTGTGTGATGGAAGCAGTGAGGCAGATTGTCGTTGTGTAATGTGAAAGGTAAACAGGCAACGCCGACCATATGTCTGCTCCTGGAGCTGGGGGGTCTGGGGTGCCGTGCTGGGTGCTGCTCACGGATCCCTGCCGGCCTGGGGGTTTTCCCCGTTTCTCTCCTTGCCCCAGCCTCCGCGGCAGCGCAAGGCTGAGCGCTGCCAGGAACACACACCTGGGAGCCAAACACCGTCCGTGGTGACGTCTGTCTGTCTGTCTGTCCTGCGCGCTGGGCCAGAACTGAACACGGGACTTGTGCCACGGGCAGAGCGGCCACAGCAACCTCCGCCCCGCCCGGGGCGGGAGCAAGGGAGGGACCGTGTGCGGGAGCGGCACAAGAGCTTCTCCCTACGCCCGGGGCACAGCAGTGCTGGGACCCCCCGATCCCCGGTGGGCCGTGGGGGCTGCGAGCGGGGCCCCCCCGCACCGGCAGTGCCGCCACGCGTCCCCGGCCGCCCAGGGCCCGACGGGAGCTGTAGTCCTGAGGCAGCAGCGCTGCGAAGCCCTTTCGGCGGCGAGGACTACAGCTCCCATCGTGCCTCGGGGCGCCCCCCCAGCCCCCCCCGTCTCCCCTGCCTGGCACCGCAGCTGCGAGCGCGGAGCGGGGCCGGGGCCGGGGCTGGGGCGAAGCGCCGTGAGGGGCCGCGCGATGTGGCTGAAGCCCGAGGAGGTGCTGCTGAAAAATGCCCTCAAGCTGTGGGTGCAGGAGCGCTCCAACCAGTACTTCGTGCTGCAGAGGCGGCGGGGCTACGGCGAGGAGGGCGGAGGCGGGCTGGCAGGTACTGCCAGGGGCAGGGGCAGGGGCAGGGCTGGGGCGGGAGGAGGGCGGTCTGCCGGCCCTGGGACCCCCGGCCAGCGGGGCAGGGAGGGCGCCCGTCCGAGTTCGGGAGCCCTGGAGCTTCGTGGGTTTCTCCCGGGGCTCTTCTGTCCCTCCTTTCGGCCCCAGGTGCAGCAGAGCCCGGCGGGGACGGGCACCGGGCAGGGCCGGGGCTCCGAGCAGCCTCTGCCCCAGCGCAGCCCGGCGCCGCTCCACGGGCAGCTCGGTGGAAGGGGACACGACTGGAGAAGGACGGATCGGGCTTGCTTTGGCAAAATGCTCATTTCCAAAGCCCTTTTCCTGTGTGCATCTTGGGCTGCTTGAGACGAGCTCCTGCTCAGGCATTTCTGGTCGCTTATTTTAAAAGCAAGTATGTGATTTGATGGAGCTTGTCGGGGAGGGGTGGGTCAGGAAAGTGACAGGACATTGACCACTGTATAATAAACTTTATTCCGGGAGAACTTCGAGGTATGGAGCCGAGTTTCTAATTCTTGTCTGTTTGTATCATTCGGCACTGCAGGGGCCCCAGCTACCGCTGAGACCTCGGTGGTGGTGGTGGTGGCTATTCTGACTAGAACAGACTCCTTCATAGTCTGGTGGTGTCTGTCATTGACCCCGTCAAGGAGAAAAGAGCTGCAGGGAATCAGCCCAAAGTTGTTCTGCGGTGGGATGTGGTTCTCGAGTGTTTTGCACCTCTCTGGGCTCTCTTTAATTGTGTCATCCTAAAGCAAGCTACGTTAAACATGAGCTATGTTGTCCTGCGGAAACATTTATTAATTCAGCTG